GCAAAAGCCTCCTCTTGAAGGGCACTTCTATGCCAGGGAGATAACACATGTGAGTATGTATTCACGGAAGCTTCCAATTTTCCTTTCTAATTAATGTATTTCCCTGTCTAAGAGGGAAAAGCTGGATGCTCTAGTTCACTGTGTTTCATTCATGGGACTTTTATTATCCAATAAGAGACAGGATCTTGCTCTGTTGCCCAGGCTAGAGTGGAGTGGCCCAATCATTGCTCACTATAACCTCAAACTAAAGCATTCCTCCTGCCTCATCCTCCTAAGTAGCTAGGACTACAGGTACAGGCCACCACACCCAGCTAATTTTTTTATTTTTATTTTTTTAGAGACAGAGTCTTACTATGTTGCCCAGGCTGGTCCCAAACTCCTGGCCTCATATGATCCTCCTGCCTCAGCTTCCCAGAGTGCTGGGATTACAGGCATGAGCACCGCACTGGGCCCATAATACAGTATTTTTATCTCCTATAATTTTAACAGCACAGGGCACATGCATGCCTATGAAAACATACACTCACCTTTGCCACTTCTGGTATTTAAATTTGTTTGAAACCAAATGAACTCTAAGATGAATACAAAAGATTAAAATTTTCATTTTCTATTACTTAAAAATATAGCAATGCATCTCTAATAAAGTTGTTAACATTACCTCACATGGCCTAGCAACATCGATTAAAATAAACTTGGTAAATCCAAATGGTCTTATAAATTTCCCTAACGAGAAGCACAGGATTTACCTGCGTTACAATGACAGGTGACAAATCTTTCAAGTTCTGGATATGGGTTAGCAATGAGTCCCGTAAAGAGGCATGAGAGTCTGTGGGGAGCTCATAAAATGAGGTCTGAATCTTCATTTTCATGGTTTGTGCAGCAAAATAGCATGATTCCACGTCCTGTCGGATCTGTAACAACTGGTCAGAAATCTCCCATGCGTGAACCTGAAAGCAGATCAGACAAATGTCTTAAAGAAAACTACTTTTCCAAATAATTTTAATGCCATACAACCTCAATACTTACATAAACATATTTAGACCAAAGTATAATGGAGGAAAAATCTGACAAGCTAAATTACCCACTAATTCAGCCAATAGTTCAAACCACATTGTTACAGGCCTTGCTCAACAAAAGCATTGCCTAAAATCTCTCTGACTCATTCTAGGAAGGCATGAGAGCTATCAATTGAATTAATAGATATAATCCTGCTGATTAGAATCATTAATTGTGTGTGGGGATAGGATATGAAGAATAATGCCCCAAAAGTTTCTACTGAAACTAAAATGTCACTATATAACTTCCAACCCTAACCTAGAGAATGGGTGTTTCTTCTCTTTTCCCACTTAAATAAACTTTGTTCACTCTGAGAATTAAGTCCAGAAGCTGTTATATCTATAAATAGGAGAATGTATTGGTCTCAGCAGTCCTATATTTCAATCTTTAGTTCCTGATAAAACAGCAGAAAAACTATCTTGGCCCAAGTGAATATTTTACATACTTCAATTATTTTCTGATGTATTTATATTTGGCAAAGTGCTACACATGTTACTAAAATCATTTTTATAGGAGAAAAACTTATCTATAGAAATAACAGAAAGAACAGAAGTATAAAATTTGGTCTGTAATAGCTAGTTGCAGTTATAAAAGGGAGTCCTATTTTTGAGATAAATTTGAAAACAAAATCATGCAGTACACAGCAGACAACTAATTAATGACTGATAAATTCTAATCCAATTCTACACTAAACTGCCTCTTCATGAAAGGCTTAAATGGACTGAAAATAAAATTTTCAATCTCAATTCAGGAATAGAGTCAACTGTGAAGAGCAGAGATCAATTTTTTATGAAGATAAACCATTTCGTAAGTAATACATAAATATCCTTCAAGATCTTTCCAAAGATAAGGCTGGGTATGATGGCTCACTCCTGTAATCCCAGCCAGCACTTTGGGAGGTGGAGGCAGGAGGATCCCTTGAGCCAGGGAGTTAAAAACCAGCCTGGACAACATAGTAAGACCCTATCTCTACCAAAAAAACCAATTTTTTAAAATTAGCCAGGCGTGGTGTCAAGTGTCTGTAGTCCCAGGGACTCAGGAGGCTTAGGCAGGAGGATCGTTTGAGCCTTTGAGTTCGAGGCTACAGTAAGCTATGATCATGGCACTACACTCCAGCCTGAGCAACAGAGCAACCCTGTCTTTAAAAAAAAAAAAAAAAAACTTTCCAAGGATAGATAAGCAGGAAGACAAGATACAGAAACTCGTAGAGTAAATGGCTTGTAAAAGTTCCTAAAGTAAATGGAAAATAGAGACCCTGAATTTCAAAATTATAGATTTATTGTCATAAAATTTAGCTTTCAATCAAATAGTTGGCGGAAAGTAAGCATAAAGCATTAACTTCCTTCCAGATATGGTGTATTTTATTAATTTTGTTGTACTTTTTACCCCTACCATAGTGTCCCCAAAATACTCAATAAATGTTTAATTGTGGCTCCTACCTGTAATCCTAGCAATTTGGGAGGTCAAGGCAGGAGGATTCTATGAAGAAGATTCTATGAAGAAAGACTCTATGAAGCTTTGGAATCTCCAGAAATATTCTCATAAAAACAGATAATTAGATAGCAAAACCAAAACACTAATGGACACTTACAACAAAACTATTTGTTATTTAGTTATCTCCAAGAACCTCAAAATACATGTGGATGAGAGAAACCAGTGACATCTACTAAGACCTGCGTGGTTTCAGCTTCAGTAAATACAGATGCAGAGGCAAACAACAGGGTATCTAATGGATCTAAGAACAGAGGAACAACAAAAGAGCCAATAGGTAGTCACTGGAAAATATAGGCAGCCAATCTGAGGACTGTAGATAAAAATGGAAGAGGATTTGCCCAATCTAATAGAAGGTGAGTAAGAGATCTGACGGCGATGGAACAGGTTAGTCTCCATAAAACCTTGAAACCGTAAAGTGAGGAAAAGGCCTCAAATTGAGGAGAAACTGCTATAAAAAGAATCAAAATTATATGGGACACCTATAATAGAGATGAAGGAAGAAAAAGAGAGGGGAACAAAACTAGGAAATTTCAGAAATCAAACCATCATATTTGCAAATACTACCTGAAAACAACAGATAAGGAAGCTCTATGAAGTTAGAAATATTATCCTTAACCAAGCCTTCTTCTAAAAGTTCAGAAAAACTAATTTCGCAAAAATAAGCAATTGAGGTCAAAAGTCATATATAGCTTTAAAGGAAAAAAGAGAACGAGCAGAATAACACCCTAAGGAACAAAGACCAGAAAAACAAGTTTAAAAAACCAGCCCAGCCTACTATTTCAAAATGAGCTAAAAGACATTAAGAAAATGATACCAGATACATAAGAAGAGAATTGGAAACAAATTTTCAGAAATTAGGTAAAAGAATTCAGGAAAAATTAGAAATTAAAGGAAAAAATCGCATCAGAGATAAAGACTAAACTAGGAGGAATTTTACGTGTCACCAAACACATCAAATAATGTCTTAAGAGAAACAGAAAGTGAAAAGGAGGCCACGGCTGGGCCAGGTGGCTCATGCCTGTAATCCTGGTGCTTTGGGAGGGTGAGGCGGGAGGATCGCTTAAGGCCAGGAGTTCAAGACCAGCCTGGGCAACATCAGCGAGACTCCGTCTCTACAAAAAAATAAGAAAAATTAGCCAGGTATGGTGGTGTGCACCTGTCGTCGCAGCTACTCAGGAGGCTGAGGCAGGAGGATCACCCGACCCCAGCAGTTTGAGGCTGCAGTGAGCTAGGATGATGCCATTGCACTCTAGTCTAGGCAACAGAGAACCAAAAAAAAAAAAAAAAAGGAACCAACGCTCCTTAACGAACTTCAGATTCAAAGTCTGAAGGAAACATATAAGGTGACCCTAGAATACATCTCATGAAAAATGACAGAAGCTATCTATGACTACTAGAGTCATTTCAGAAGTACTGAGGAGTCAACTTAATGAGGCAACCACTAGCCAAAGATAAGACTATTTAGGATTCAGCAAGGGATTAAGATGATCACATACACTGAAATCCATGAGATTTCATAACGTTTTATCTTTTTATAGGAAAAAACTAGCTACCATTGGAGACAGATGTAAACTCGTTATCTTACAAGGGAAGAATCATGCATTTATCCTGGTTTTCCAATATAAACTGTACCACTAGGTAACCTAATAGGAGATGAGAAGAAGGGTCTCTATAGAAGTATTCTAGCAAATAAGTAAAAAAGAAATGACATATTTAAAATATCACCACTTTGCAACCCGCAAACAATTAATGATCTAAGCACTGAGCAACAGCTGATTATATCACAAAAAAAGGGGAGAATGGGGTAAAGATAGCTGCAAATATAGTGCTAATCCTACACTGAAGGGTAAAATCTACTTTCATTCCCCAAGAACATGGTTGGGCCTTAGTAACTTGCTTAACTGATAGAACATGGCAGAAGGGACATTCTGGGATTTCCTAGAACGTCAAAAGATCTGGAGAAGGTCAAAAGATCTGGAGCTTCTGCCTTGGTATCCTGAGCATTACTCTGAGGAAAGCCAACTGCCATGTAAGAACTCAAGACTACTCTACTGGAGAGACAATGTGGAAAGGCCCTGAGACTAGAAGGAAAGCTAGAAGGGCCCAGCTGAGTCCCCACCTTCCAGCCATTCTTACCAGAGTATTAAGGATACTCTGAGGATCTGAGAACCTCCAGACCAGCCCGACCACTAAATGGATCCCACCAAGCCCTGCTGGAATTCCTGACCTACAAAGTTATACACCATAAAATAGCTTTTGTTTTAAGTCACTAAGTTCCGGAGTAATCTGTTTCACAGTAGTAGACAACCAGAACAGATAGACAACCAAATATTATGTGCCTCTTGATGAAAGAACAAGATACCACAATGAAAAGGGGATCGACTTTGTGTCTCACCAAACCTCTGGATCCAGCTGCCAATTTGCAGGAAATACAGAGTAGAGTAGAACTGTATCATGACAATGAAATCAGCAAAATCCACTGTGGGAAACTCTACAGGTCAAATGGCCCAGATTCCTCAACAGATAAATAATCTACAGAGAGAACCTAAAAGACACTCAAAAAAACATATTTTATAAGAAACAAAACAGTAAGACTCAACTACAAAGTGTGGAACTGCCCCCTGGGTGATAAAACTATAAAGAAACACAAAGAAAGGATTACTATAAAAGGACAGTGTTTACTTTTAGGGAAACAGAAGCAATTATGTCAAACAGCACAAGGATGTCTGCAATTCACTAAGTTATACATTTATATTGTGTGGTTTTCTGTGTCTGTGTTTAAAAAAGAGAAGAACATAACAAAATCCTAATGTTGCCTATTAAAGTCAACTAGTATAAAATCTTTCTCCCAAAAAATGGAACTATCAATTCATCAGGTCGTCACAACCCTTGGGGAAAAAAAATCATTGTTTGTGCAATGCCAAGTTGTGCTCTAATCTTAATGGCAGAAACCAACAAAAAATACCAACTGTATTATTCTGTTATTTATATTTCTGACTTAAACATCTCTATCCCCTTAAAAGGAGAGATCTTAAAAATGAAGGTCAAAACCAACAAACAAAACAAAACCAAAAATCTCTTTGCCACTGCGCAAACTAGTAAACTTGGGGAGTAAGGATGCAAAGGAGATTTATTTTTCAAGCAACTTTAATGATGTTTGAATATTTTTTTAAAATGTCCTTTGGAATTGCCTTTTTTAAAAAAAGAAAAAGAATGTGTACTTTTAATATGTAAAGATCTCCAAGATATGTAATTTTTAAAAAAGTAATGCAGATCTTGTAAGATTCTTTCCATAAAAATTTTTTAGAACAGGTAGCTAAGCTTTTTAACACACAGGAATTAGTTTTATTCCCCAAATACTCCCCAAACAACCTAAAGCTCTCTCGAGCTCACAGCA